CACACACACACACACTGAGTGCTCAGTGACAGCTGATCTGATGTCACATCTGTCGTGTGGAGAGACAGTCAGAGCGTTTTGTGTGTGTGTGTGTGTGTCACTGTGTGAGTATGTGCGTGTGTGTGTCCTTTCGTTGCTACGGCTACTGCATGGCAACAGCTGTTGAGTCCTCTGGGAAAATCCAGTTCCCGTGCTGTCTGATGACTTCTAAAACTTTGAGTGACTTTTATCTAAACACACACTTGAGTGGAATTTGCATCTGTTTAATATTCATAAGTCCATAATTAGACTGCATCTTTCTTAATAAACATCAGATGATATGAATATCCAGACTCTCATTTTCTGAACTCTTCTGTTTCTCAGATGCAGTTTTGATGGCATGACGTTTATTTTAGTATCAGTTTTCATTTTTGTTCGTTTTTTTTAAATGTTTATATATTTTTATTCATTTTTGTTTTAGTTTTAATTACATAATAACATCAAGTTTAACTATTCATTTTTTTAATCTGTTTTTATTCCTATATTTTCCATCTTAATTTTTAGTTAATACTAGGGCTGGGTGATAAAATGATAATGATAATTATCATGATATAATTTCCCTCGATTAAACGATAAGGAGAGTTTGATAAATGTTGGATATAATGTTTAAGCACAAAAAGCAGAAGAGAACAGCGCTCCTCATCTGAAGTCACTAAACAGCACTGTGAGATCCAGTGTGAAGCGCTCAACTAGCTAAGCTATAATAGCGTTTGTGTATTTAGGCTACTGTCTTTCATAAAAATAGCTAGCGTTTTGTTTCTAGAAGCATTGTTATATTGTACCATGGTTGAACTCTGGTTATCATGATCTAAACGTATGCTACTATGAAAGAACAACGGTTAATGTTAATAAAACTCAAACAGAATGATTACATTTCATCATGCGGAAATAAGCTTGTTACAGTTTTTGCAGATGTTACTTTTTTTGAACATGCAGAAACTAAGAAATACATTTTCTATTTAAATATTTATTGTAAAGAGAAATGACTGGAAAAGTGAGAAATGTGAAGTGTATGTTCTGACCATAAAGAGTTGTTTAAAACCTTGAAAAACTTTCACTTTGGAGCAAAAATCTGCCTTTAAACTTGTGAAAGAAATAAAGATTTGAATCTCATTGTGTTGATTATTGATATCGACTGATATGAACAATTATATTGAGATCATTGTTTAGCCATACCGCCCCCAGCCCTAGTTAATAGTGTGTTTTGTCCTTTTTAATAGTTTTTTTAAATATGTCTATTTTTATTTCAGCTTAATTTTACTTTAGTACTTCAAGTTAAACTATTCATATTTTGAATCAGCTTTATTTTTATACTTTCCCATGAAAAATGGTGAAAATGATTTAAACGTCAATGTCACAGTGACAAGATGCAGCTAAACTCGGCTGTCGTTCACTAGCGTCTCACACTCACACACTCCTGCATGACATCACAGCCATCCTGCCACGCAGTTGCCATGACGACGTGCACAGACCGCATGACACCATCACTCTGGTCACCATGGAGACGATGCAGCGCTCAGCAGAAATCTGGCAACTATCCCACGGTAACCTCGTCACACTCACTGAAGCGTCACACCCTCTCATTCTCATTCATGTCTTTTTCACTAACTGTGATATTTTGACATATTAAACTGGTTACTATGGTGATTTCTGTCTGGAATAAACACTAACATGATGGTGGTACCATGTAAAATCATAGTAATCAAACACAAGCAATACCACAGTAATATTCCTACAAGAGAATCACTTGATACACACACACTCACTCACACACAGCTGCCTCACTCTCTCTCACACACACACAAACACACACAAACACACACACAGCTGTCTCACTCTCTCTCACACACACACACACACACAGCTGCCTCACTCTCTCTCACACACTCTCTCTCACACACTCTCTCTCACACACTCTCTCTCACACACTCTCTCTCACACACTCTCTCTCACACACTCTCTCTCACACACTCTCTCTCACACACTCTCTCTCACACACTCTCTCTCACACACTCTCTCTCACACACTCTCTCTCACACACTCTCTCTCACACACTCTCTCTCACACACTCTCTCTCACACACTCTCTCTCACACACTCTCTCTCACACACTCTCTCTCACACACTCTCTCTCACACACTCTCTCTCACACACTCTCTCTCACACACTCTCTCTCACACACTCTCTCTCACACACTCTCTCTCACACACTCTCTCTCACACACTCTCTCTCACACACTCTCTCTCACACACTCTCTCTCACACACTCTCTCTCACACACTCTCTCTCACACACTCTCTCTCACACACTCTCTCTCACACACTCTCTCTCACACACTCTCTCTCACACACTCTCTCTCACACACTCTCTCTCACACACTCTCTCTCACACACTCTCTCTCACACACTCTCTCTCACACACTCTCTCTCACACACTCTCTCTCACACACTCTCTCTCACACACTCTCTCTCACACACTCTCTCTCACACACTCTCTCTCACACACTCTCTCTCACACACTCTCTCTCACACACTCTCTCTCACACACTCTCTCTCACACACTCTCTCTCACACACTCTCTCTCACACACTCTCTCTCACACACTCTCTCTCACACACTCTCTCTCACACACTCTCTCTCACACACTCTCTCTCACACACTCTCTCTCACACACTCTCTCTCACACACTCTCTCTCACACACTCTCTCTCACACACTCTCTCTCACACACTCTCTCTCACACACTCTCTCTCACACACTCTCTCTCACACACTCTCTCTCACACACTCTCTCTCACACACTCTCTCTCACACACTCTCTCTCACACACTCTCTCTCACACACTCTCTCTCACACACTCTCTCTCACACACTCTCTCTCACACACTCTCTCTCACACACTCTCTCTCACACACTCTCTCTCACACACTCTCTCTCACACACTCTCTCTCACACACTCTCTCTCACACACTCTCTCTCACACACTCTCTCTCACACACTCTCTCTCACACACTCTCTCTCACACACTCTCTCTCACACACTCTCTCTCACACACTCTCTCTCACACACTCTCTCTCACACACTCTCTCTCACACACTCTCTCTCACACACTCTCTCTCACACACTCTCTCTCACACACTCTCTCTCACACACTCTCTCTCACACACTCTCTCTCACACACTCTCTCTCACACACTCTCTCTCACACACTCTCTCTCACACACTCTCTCTCACACACTCTCTCTCACACACTCTCTCTC